CTCATCTGAGTTATCCATATGTGTCGCTTACACTTGTACAGTATAAGAGATAAGGCGGCATGGGAATCATATATAAATACATGGTTCATATTTATTTATGCGAGATATGCAGCGATAATCATCACAGCTTTAGCTTTTTCTTTGCATCGCTCTGCTTTGCATATGCCTTTTGAGGGTCTCATATATGGTCGATCCTGTTTTCCCATGCATAGGATCAGGTAGGCATATTTTATGCCTACGGACTATGTGGACGCATGAACGAGTGGCACATGGCGTTGTGTGACAAAGGTCCTTCTCCCTCTTACGCATTTATTATTTATTTTGCATATATGTGCCCCTTTTATCTTTTCCATAATTCTCTTAGAACGCCAAGGAATACTATACCGCAGTATACCTTTTTTTACGCGTATCTTTTCAAAGCGTTTTTTTTAGGCGCAACAAATCGGCCAAGTTAGTTAACCGGTTAGTTAACCAATTAGGCAATCAGTTAATTTTTTTTTTTTTTTTGAACATTCCCTCGTTTTCTCTTTCTCATAATTGTACATTTTTTTAGTATAAGATTTTTTTCCCCCCTTTTATAAAGCCACGGCATGGTACGCATATTATACACTTGCAGTGGGGACTCGGATCCAACACTTCATAATATCCCCATGCAAGAAAAGAAGCGTTAACCGTTTGCTCTGCGTCTATTCTGCGTCTGCGGGGCTGGGCCACGTTGCGTCCACTCTGCGTCAGTTTTCTGTCCCATCCCCTAAAATCCATTTTGTTGCTCCATCTAAGCAATTTTGCTGCCCCATCTAAGCCCATTTTTCTGTTCCCATTTAAGCAACTTTTTTTCCTCATCTAACAATTTTTTCCCCCCATTTTAAGCAATTTTTTTTCCCCATTTATGCAAATTTTTTTTCCGCATTTAGCAATTTACTTTCCCCATCTAAGCCCATTTTCGGCGATTTGGCGCTCCTTCCAAATTTATACCTAGTAGCAATGGTTTCTACCTTTATGAATGAAGACAGCCCGTGCCCACACCCCTCGAAATATCAGTAAAAAAAGTACGTGGCGGAAATCGTCCTGTTTTTTCTTCTCATTTCATCCACTCAGCTGTTTTTATTCCTTTTTTTTTATGACTTTTTTTTGCTTGGAATTTTTACATTTTTCCTCATCTTTTTTTTTTTGCTTTTCACATCTTTTCTTAAATTTTTTATCTGCCATTGCCTTTTCTTTTTATCTTGCATATTTTCATATGTACCTCTCTTGCATATTTTTTTTCATTTACCTACCCCTCTTTTTTTGCCCTTCATTTTTTCCTTCCTCTCTTTTGCTCTTCATTGTTATGTGCCCCTTCTCTTCTCTTCATCCTTATTTTCCCATTTTTTGTCACCCCCGTATCTTCCTTCTCCTTTTCTTCCTTCGTTCTTTCCATTTCTCCCGTCCTTACCTCCTCTTTTTGTTCTTACCCTTATCCCCCCCCTTTCTTTTTCACCCCTTTTATGTCCCATATTTTACAAGATGAAAGCCCGTGCGTCTTTCCTATATTTTTAATAAGGAGAGAAACAAAAAAAAAAAAAGAAAAAAAGGAATTATTTTTTCTCTAATTTTTAATTAATCATTTCATTACCTAATTATCATTCGTCCATTCGGATTATCAGTATTTTTGATACTCCACCATTCAGTTATTTTCGTCCTCGCCATTTTCGTCGTCTCCTAGTCACTTCATCTCATCGCTTCACCGACTCAACGTCTTTCCCTCTTTTATACTTTTGATCCACTTGGCCAATCTTTAATCTTCGTTTTGTGTCCCCAATTTACTCTGCACGTTTGTTTCTGCCCATTTGCGTCCATCGAACCAAGCCCACCCTTTTGCGCCCCCTTATCCTTGTCCGCGCCGAGATTTCCGCACTCCAACATATATAATGGTATTTTATATTTCCTCAAAGGATAACCAAATAAATGACTTCGTTATAACTAGATCAGTAAGTTCCAAGAGAGATTACATCGACGGGGTCAAAAAGGGCGATCCGGAGTGTAGAAGAAGCGAAGTCAACGCTTTGGACATAAGGAACGGTTTTGACATCGCCAAGGGTTTGGACATCAGTAACGTTTTGCACATTGGTAACGGTTTCCAAGTCGGTAACAGAATCGAAGTTGCTAACGGAGTCGACCTTACAAGTGACACCCATCCTGGTAGAGGCATCCCCACTAACAAAGGCCCCTCCCTCCAGGGAAACTGCATCGACCCAGGGAAAAACCACAGAGACATCGAGCCGAACTTTTTTAATCTTAAAAATGGTGTAAACAACTCGGTTGACGACTTTGGCTTGTTCATAAAATTAAAAGACATTAACGGCTTGTCAAACGACAACATCCACGAAATTAATGAGCTTTTGAAGAAGGAGAAACAGAAGGACAAAGAGAAAGAGCGAGAAAAGAGACCCAGTGCTGAGTCCAAGGATTCCAGTTACAAGAAGAAACAGGAATACCAGGAGGCAGATAGCGAGAAGGAAGAGGCAGGACAGAAACAACACAAGACAAAAACATTTGCTGCATCACAGGACCTGCTACTGCAATATCATCACCACCTCCAACAACAGCACCAGAAACAGAAGCAGAAGAGACAGATACGAAAACAAAGACAGAAGCGGCAGCAGACAGGGGAGGACGATCAGGAGGAATCCATTTACGTGAGGAAGTACAACAAAAGGAGGGAGAGAAAAATCGAACTCTACACGGAGTGGAGCGGCTCACGCGCGGGGAGTAGAGCTATATGTGATAATAGCTCCATACTAGAGAGCAGTGGCGCGCGAGACGGAGGAAGCGTATTTGAGGATTGCAACCCTCGTGGTAGTAGCGGCCAACGTGATAGCGGCACCCCACGTGAGAGCGGCATTCCACGTGATAGCGGCAACCTACGTGAGAGCGGCAATCCACGTGATAGCGGCAACCTACGTGAGAGCGGCAATCCACGTGAGAACATCGGGCTGCGGGACAGCTCCTGCCTGCGCAACATCGACTACAGCCTTTGGAACAGAATAGGAGAGCGCAGCCTAAATCAAGCACTGATACATAGAGGAGTCACAGCTGAGAAGAAAAAGAGAAAATACAACGAAATGAATAACAACACGGACGTTCTTGTGAATACTGGAAGTAACAACACCTGCGGAGTCAGAGGTGGAGGAAACATTAGGGGGGCTGGGAGCATGCGGGGCAGCAGCACGAGAGGCAGTGGTATGAGGGGAAGTGGCATGAGAGGAAGTGGAGTCAGAGGTAGCAGCATCAGAAGCAACAGCGTCAGGAGTAACAGTGTCCGAAGCAACAATGCCAGGACTGCTGGAATCAAAAACGGAAACAATGCCAACCACAAAAGTAACAACAATGAGTACTACTCCAGTTACAACTACCGATATGCTTATGAGGATGGCAGACAGAGGGAAATGCTAATTGGAGAAGAAAATACTAACATGAAAAGACAATACAACAATGTCATTAACGAATTTGACCACATCGAAATTGTAAATAACATGTCTGATGATGAGAAGAACGGGCAGATAGAGGAACAGATAAAGGAACTGGAGGAACTGGACATTTTAGAAAGGCGCAGGGATGGAAAGCTAAATGGGGGTTTCTTACAAACGGTGAAGAAAGAGGACGAGAAATTTAAAAAAATCGAAAGAGGAGATGGAACCGCCGCATCAGTAACAATGACCCAAACAGGAGGAGTCATCGATAGAACACGCTTAACTAATCATGAAAGCCATTGCTACGATCAGTATCCGCAACATAATTTCCTCAAACCCGCTCATGGCAATCACCATCACGTGAATCGAGACCCCAGCAAAGACCGAAGCGAAGTAATAACCGAATTAAGCAGAGCGCAGTTGTGCCAAGCCAAGTCGGAAAATACCAATGGGGAAGAACCCAAACGATTTATCGACGCCAGTGCGTTCAAAATGGCGTACGTCCCTAATAACTCCGGTGGTAATAACGATGCGGGTAACAATGGGCATATCAGTAACGATCCCAACAGTCGCAATGTTTACAACGAGGGGATCAACCATCCGGTGAACGATACAGTCAACGATACGACCAACGTTAAGGGAGGAAGGCTGCTAAGAAATCTGCACAAGAACAACCTTCTTGTTGATCACAGAGGAGGGGTTAACAGAGTGTCCAAGAAATACGCCGCCGAAATGGGTGCGGCAAATAATGTGGTAGTACATCGAAAGAGAAGGAGAAAAAATTTGGATGACAGCAGCAGGTATGTAGAAAATGAAGGCATTAATGGAATGATGTCTGCGGGTACCGATGGGCATGTATTCACGAATGTTACATCTGAGACCACTCACGTAGGAGTGACCCCTCCAAATGACACTGCAAGTGTTGAAGCGAAGCATATCAGTAATGGTCTTTCTGTGTCTCGTAATGACTGCAACGGGGGGGTTAAGCCGGATGGAGATGGAAGTCAGGAGCAAGGCTCTCCTAATAACTTCGGTGTTAACAGATTTGAGAGAATTAATGCTCACAACACCGGTGGGGGACGTGCTGTCTACATGGCCAGGAATGGCTTCACCGGAGTAAGTAACTTCACGGGGGGTTCCCCTTCCATGGAGAATGGAAACTGCAAATCGGAGGAGAGACACTCAAAAAACTGCGAAAGGTATAATGCACAGAGTAACAACGAGTATGAAACTTACAACGAAGATGCCACCGGACAAAATGACTACAACGGAGCAGCTGAGGGAATGGTAGGTACCAATCTGGACCAGGCAGACGACGGGAGAAATGGCATGAACAACTCCTCCCTCCAATCAAACATATGTGTCAAAAGAGCACAAGCACCCTCATTTGTACATCCACGAGGAGGCATTAAAATGAAGGGCCATCGGCATAAGAGAAGAGGAAGAGCATTCCATAGGCTCCATGCAAATATGAACATCATAAAAGGAATAAAGAAAAATAGCGAATCGAAGTTTCGACATTCAACAGATGGAGCTATACCCCATTCGCAAAATTTGGAGAAGAAAGACTTTTGCACGAATGAGCAGAATATGGATCATGTAGTGCATGACAACGTAAGGAGTTCGCCGGGATCTCACCTGCATGAGCACAGTAATGCCAAGGAGGACTATGCAGACAGCAACGACAATGATTACATGAATAACGACAACACCTCGCATAACTACGGGGCCCGGTTCAATGAGGATTTCTTCCACGCGGAGGACGCCGGTGGTAAGTCTATGTGAGAATCGGGCTTGTCTGGCCGCTCATCCTTTATTCGCTAACGAAAGAGCGAAAATGAGAAAATGCGAAAAAGGGAAATTTGTTTGTTTCCCCATATCTTTTCATATTTTCCCATTTTCCCGTCTTCCCATTTTCCCTTTTGCCCATTTCCCCCCTCAGCGGAGAAGAAGAAGCGGAAAAAGCGAGTTACCGAGGAAGGCTCCAAGGAGAGCAGCAAAATCAACGTAGGGAATAACTACCAAGTGCCCAAGCTGCCGAACTTCTTTCTCTGCCGCTCAGAACTAATGTACAGAAACTACGAAGCGGCGGAGGAAACAAATAACGATGAAGTTTGCCTGACATGTTCAGGCCTGCCTTGCCATTGCCGAGTAGGAGAAGCGACGTTAGTATATTCACCATTAATGTTAGAAAGGGTACGAGAGAAATGTATGAAAAACAGAGGCTATCATAAATGCATAAAAAACGAAATCGAGTTATCTGCCTATGTTCAAGAGTGTGCAAAAAGCTGGAAGTCAAATATAGAAGACTGGGTCCCTTTCTCACCTGAGTATGCATATAAATTATTGCATTATGCCAATTACGATCCGCATAAAGCTATCAGCATTATGAAGTCGTCGGAGTTTTCTTTTCGAAAAATTATGGATCCTCCCACGAGGAAATATCAGAACAAATGGAAGCCAAAGGATAAGCGGGAGCATATTTCCAAGAACCCCTTCCCGTCTCCCCTAACCATACGGACGTACCTCTCCAAGAGGCATCATATCAGTGGCTACCACCTGAGATGACGCTATTGGCATGGCGCCTCCTTCGCTTTGGTGGTACACCTGTATCTCCTTTCACGCAGTGTTTAGTATGTTACTCATGTGTGCGTACGACACTTTGGCGTGGTTAAAGCCTTGAACGTTTGGGAAACGTTCTCCTGGATATATCCCGTCCCCCCTATAATATTTGTGATGACAAATTAAAACCAGATTTTCCCTTCCCTATTCCTGAGTGTACATTTCCACACCGCTTTAAGAGAGATGATGTACAAGTGGAGAGATGAAAAAAGTATCAACAAGTCAGGGGGATATTTTGCCATCTCAAATGTGACTCTGTCGGTTTTTTCTGCGCCTGTGTATATAATTATGTCAGTGAAGGGATGGTGTAGGGAGACTTCCCAGGAGACTGCCTCAGAGACTAGCTCTCAGACTAACCCTTTCTATGAGCCGATTTTTCCTGTCGTTTATTCGTGCACATAGAGAGATAGAGCAAGGGGAGTTAAGAAATTGGCACAATGTCGTCACTTCCCCTTTTCGGTGCCGCTCGAAAACGAAGATGTTGTATCTGCCAGTCTGTCCCTCTAAAGGGCTGCCCACGTGACGGCGGTGTGACGTCCACACATAGAAGAACAAGATAGGCGAACCATTTGGGAAGCGATAGGATTTTTCCCCCATCGTAACCCACATACTTTCACTGGCCTATGAGAGTACACAGAGCGACATGGGCAAAGACGCAGCAGCGCACCGAGTTCACCTCTTCTCGTATTCATGTAACATTTTAACAACTTCATCCCTTTTTTCTATCGCGGCGTTGGTGCGTCGTTTCGTATCAACATCATCCCTCCTCCCCCCAATGCCCCTTCTGCGCTACTCCACCGCTCTATTCTCTTTCTTCCCCCTCTTTGTACCTTTTTTTTGTTTTTATTTGATTTCATAGGCCTCTTTTTTTTAATTGCTCAACGCCTCTGATTTTTTCCCTCCCCACGTGCACCCGTCTGTGTTGATACGGCCCCCCCTACGCGCAGGCTCACAGGGTGCATACACGCACGCTTGTGCTAATTTTATTTTCCCCTCCCTGTTAAAATGTTTCATTGCGCTATCGCATTGTCGCCTTATAGCCTCATCGATTTTTTTTTTCGAATAAAAGACTTTCCTCCAAACTTGTCGCATACGTCTAGGACAAGTGCACAAGCGCGCTTTTTTAAGTGTCAACCTTTTGGACATTAAAAAATGAAATAAAATAAAACAGAATAAAATAGAATAGAATAAAATAGAATAGAATAAAATAGAATAGAATAAAATAGAATAAAATAAAATAGAAATAACATGGCGTGGCACACGGTAACAAGTGGCGCAAAGAAGGGGGTATATTTTTTGCAGACGATGCGTTAGGAAGCCCTACTCGCCATACTCTTCCACCTTCACAAAAGGGGCGACGGCGTGATCGGGGCTCCCATAAATGTATGCAAGTGTACACACATGAACATATGCATATTTGTACAGGAGAAAGCCATGCTGCAGTGGGCTTAAATAAAATCATTAAATGTGTAGAGGGCACCGATATGTGCATTCACTTAGTGCCATTCGTGAGCTAGCGGAAAAGCCACTCGCAAGGGTGTCGTCTGGCAACTTTCAATGTAGCTGTATCCTCTAGAACCTTGCGCCACTTTCCGCTTTACTTAGTGTCGACCCCTTTTTAATTTTATCCCGTCTTCTCCTCTTACAGTTAAAAATTAAACAGAGGCACTTATTTTATTATCCCCGTTGCGGGGGGAAGGAGGATATATGGTCGTATGATCCACCCCGCGTACGCAGTGATAACGTCGTCGATGTCCCGCACTGCGTTTCAAACGTAGAGTCCAAACAAACGGATGTACAGACCTGTGCATGCTGAAGCAAGCACCTTTTGTACAATATTTAAACTGTAACTGCAACTGCTGGCGTCTTAAAGGGTGTTGGTCAGTTCAATCGGGGAGGTGCCTTTTCTGCCCCACAATTTGTTAAAAATAAAACACGCAAAAATTAATTAAAAAATGGAAAAAAAAGGGACTCAAAAAGAGACACAAAACAATTCGCAGTGTGTTCGAGGAACGGTTGGCATGGAAAGATAAGTGCCAATGCAAAATGGCGCGTACAAGGGTGGTGGACTGTTTAAAATGGAAAAAGGCAATAAGGGGCATGCATATATGTATAATCCCGTTTGGGTGTGCCTACGCGTGCGCATAACTCTGTCTCTGCTTGATCCTGAAACGAATGTGCACGCTGAGGAAGGGGATCAACAGTCCACTGTACTGTAGCATTTTGGAAGTTTCAAATTGGTGCATGCAGTTTTGCTCATAGTGACTGCGTGGGGCCATTAATCCGTCGATAATAGTTGGCTAAACAAGCTTCCGTTATGTTAAAATATTTTTAGGTACTCCTACAATGGGGTTGGTTGATGCTTCTCCGCTGCCATTTGAGAAAGAATAGGAGGGGATAGTCGGCCTGTGTTACTGTGACATCGCTGCTATTCCCTGGACGAAGAGGAGGGAATTTGTATATTTACTCGACCCACACACACAGCCAAAAAGAGACCAAAACGCAGACAACCCTGTCGTCCATTGATGGCGTCTACTCGGCCACTTTGTTGAATCCTTTATTTCCATCCACTTGCAACATTTCGCTGTTCTTAAAATATGACTCTAAGTCGTTGTCTAGTCTTGACTTCACATTGCTCGAGCCCATGTAATTGTCCAATTCGTCATCCTGCGGTGGAAAGGCGAAGGGGGTAAAATTTTAGGGGCGATTTCACACAAGGGGTGCCTTGCGGCGTAGGAGCGGCTACTCCGTGCTGACGACAAGGTTACCCAAGAAGGGAACCCACAAATCGCATTTGCATAAACATTTGAAGCAGATGGACTCGTGTGGGCTGGCAGCACGAAAAAAAAAAAAAAAAAAAAAAAAGGGGGGAAAACTTCTCACACTACTGCTTATGTGTACAGTAATCACCCAATATATGTATGCCCGCCCGCTCTGCAAACACGTTGAGTTGCAGACGGCCAACCCGCCAACCGCTAACCGCTACGCTCCACTTACCAGATCCTTGGAGGTGAGTTTCCCTATCTTGTCATGCAAATTTTGCGTCTTCTTAAAGAAGTGATTTCTTCTCTTGGTGGTTGTTCGATACTTTGTTGTTCGTCTTTTCCAGAAGTTGTTCGCCCTGGTATTTCTAACCAGAGCCCCATGCCCATTGGATAAAGGCCTATCCTGAAACTTCCCTCGGATTTTTTTCGTCCCCTTGGTGTAAAACGAGTTTATTCCTCCTACTCTTTTGGAATACTTTCTGTTCATCATGGATAAATTACTTCTTCCGTAGGGTTTAAAAATGTGTTTTCTCACGTCTACTTTTTTTTTCTGTGGAGTGAATTTAAATATTTTTCCTGTAAATAAAATTTGTGTCGTGAACGATTAGCAGGGTGGAGGAGAGAGTGTGATTAATCAATCTGGTGGGGGCGGAGGGAGGTGCGTTTGGACGCACTGTAAGGGCCAATAATAAAAAACAAAAAAAACAAAAAAATACAAAAACAAACAAAAACAAAAAAATACAAAAACAAACAAAAACAAAAAAGGAAACAAAAAAAAAAACAAAAAAAACGGGGGGAAGGGCGGAGAATGAGGGTAATGGAAAAAAGCCATTTATTCGGAGAGCGACGTGTGTGCGTCAACATGAGCAAGTGTTCCCGCAGGAACATTAACGTGTACACGTTGATGCGAAATGAACAGGAACCTCTGCAGTGGAGCGGTGCGAAGCGTAGGCGGGCATTTTATTTTCTCTTTCTATCATTTTTCGCTTTATATATAATAAATTTTTTTTTTTCCCGCTTCAGCACCGCGGCTGTCAACCGAAAAAGCACCCACACATATACATATGTACTCATATTGTACATGCCTGTTTTGCAACAAAGCTCTGCTATTTTTACAGAGGGGTGCCATCACAAAGAGGTGCACGGCGCTACCATGAAAGAATGTGTTCGCCATTAGATTCTTCAGGCATGGATCGTAGCGTGTGACACCCCCCTTTTGCTCTCTACGTTACAACAATATGGAATGATGCATATGTGAATCTACGTTTGTGTCTACTTCTGGATGTACGTAATTATATATATGTGCACATCCTATTGCGCAACAAGTGATGCGATTCCTCCGATGGGTTACACTAGCTGTCCCGTCCTCCTGCATGACAGCATGGCCCCTTCTGGCACGAAACTCCCAGTGGCGACTTCATCTTGACAAGTAACCTTTTCCTCATATGGTGGCCAAGCACAACTCAATTTCCTCCTATTTTCATTCATTTCTCCCCTATGCATATGCATACACGTGAATACGAAGTAAGGCATGACATAATAGACTTGCAGAAAGAGGGCCCGCATTTCTGGTAATAAATAATTACAGTGCAGGATAAAGAGGAAGATGGCAAATGTTGATACAAAGTGGTTGGCTTCAACCCTGCATATGTCATCCGCCAAGTATGTCTCCTCCTCAACTGGTAAAATAAGCTCTGTTAATGCTGTTAGGCGGCACTACGATTTGCACACTTTCTTGGGTAGAAGATTTCGTAAGGGGGGCGAGAACCCACGGGGACACCACGGTGAAGACGCTCTCCTGCTGAACTAGCCCACACAGTAATCACTGGTAAGTAACTACCCCTCGTTATAATCCCTTCTGTATTTCAACTTATCCAAAACTACGATGTGAAGGTTATCCCATTTTAATTCTCTTCCCAGATATCTCCCATGGGATCCAGTGAATATAAAAATCCCTTCCTTCTGGACACGTCGCAAATGGAGGAACCAGATTTAGGGCAAGATACAAACGTCCATATGAAGCATACACATTTTTATATATAGGTAGATACAAATAAATATGGTCATCATTGTGCTGATTCTTCTTCTTTTTCAAAAAAGAAAAAAACAACCCCGCTTTTTTGCTTCGTTCAACAGCCCACCCCCCTTCATCTTCCTCTTCCACATCCTTTTCTTCTTCCTCCGCTTTCCTGTACATAACCCCTCGCCACTTCGCCATGGTTTTATCTTGACCAATTTAAATAGCAACAAGAAAGGTTACCCCCCATCGCTGTGATATGTGAACCTAAGATGAATCCACATCCATCGATCACCATCGGCAGTGTCACTAAGCAGCTCTATAGTGCATCATCGTCAGCATGCCACCTTCTTTTTATATGTACGCTGGTGCATGTGTGGGTGCTTTTGTGCGCATATGTATATGTATATATATATATATATATGTATATATATGTGTATGTATGTACATGTGCACGGGGTTCAAACTGTAGCCTTCAACTATGTATTCATTCGTTTATTTATTCGTTCGTTTATTTATTCGTTCGTTTATTTATTCGTTCGTTTATTTATTCGTTCGTTTATTTATTCGTTCGTTTATTTATTCGTTTATTCATCCACCTGTTCATTCATTTTTTTCCCCCCGCAACACAGTCGTCTCCTCATAAAGTGTGAACACAAATGATAAACTTTTAGTATGGCCTTATTCACGAAATAGCTTTTTTTTTTTTAAATTGTAATTGCGAGGATGGGATAAATTTGGGGTTGATTGAAGGGCTTCGTTCGGTGCGCCCATTCTTTGTGCCCACATATTCCCTTTTTTGGCCCCCACTGTTTCGCGCAACGTTTATTTTTGTTTTATTTCGTTTCATTTCGCTTTGCGTTGCGTTGCTTTTTTTTTTTTTTACGCACCTCTACTTGGTTGGTAGGAGAACTTGGAGGATCCTGGTTTTCTAGTTTTCGCGATTTTGAAATCTTTGGTTCTTCCTTGGATTTTGCTTCTCTCGATCTTCGCCATCGTCTCAGGTTTTGGGGGGTTACACAGGTGTGCAATTAGATATGTATATGTGTAGTCACTGGTATAGGCGTACTTGCACGCAGCGCGCCAGTTTCCAATTTGATTTCGCCAATAGCGCGCTATGCTCGTGTGTAAGACAGCTTCCGTGCCGCTGCTCCGTTCATATGAGGTGTCTCTTTTTTTTGGGAGTTTCCCCACGGAGATGTTTGTATGTTTGTGAGCTTCCGTGTTTGTATGCTGGTTTGTCTGACTGCTCTCTTCACATGTATTTGTGTCGGGTTATCCTTCTGTACGACTGGTTTATACGTTTTTAGGTCTACTGCCTCGGTTATTCTTCTTGCGAACTGCGCAATTTTTGCTTTTCTCGTTTCTAAGAGGGGGAACCGATCTGTTTTTGCTCCGCTGGGACGGTTAATCTCATGGGCGATGTGACAAATGCGTCTGACCAACTGAATGATAAATTAAATGGGGAATACATTACTTAGGCGTGTGACAATTTCGCATGCGTACTTGTGTACATTCGCGGCTGCTCGAGTGGGGGTGTAATGATATATGCATATCAACCAGCACTTCGCGTGTGTTTAAAATGTGGCTGCGTGGAAAACACGATTTTCATAACGTTGGCACTTAAAAAAATAGGGGAATACATAAAACTGGAAAATAGATTTATGCTGGGGGTATTAAAACGAATCAATACTGACACTGAGTGGCTGTGAAACTAGCTGCTCTTATTCAGGCGTGAAACATTTTAATGCGTGGAGACTCTTTGCAAAAGGGTGAAGATGAATAGGGAAATGTATTTGTTTATATGTCGAATTGAATTGTGCGCGGGGGGCGATGGTTAAAAGAAGTGACGATTGAATTTCGTCATAATCTCGCAGATAAAGGAAATTTTAACCGTTCCTCTGCTTCGCTTACTTTTTATTTTCTCTTCTTCGTCTGATTTTCTTCTTCGCTCTTGCTTCAGAAATGGTTAACTTTCTGGCCACATAAAAGTAACGTAAGAACGTACGTGCGCGCGGGTACACCTCTGCAGTGTTTTTGTACACGGGATTATATGCTCTTTGGTGAATATAATACTTTAATGGAATGAGTACATATATATAATATTCATGCGTACAACAATTCTTCTATTGTTTTTTTGTTTTTTTTCTTGTTTTGGCAAATTATGCGGAAATATTTTTAAATAACTCAGCATGGCAATTTTGGCTCTCTGAGTTGGGTATTTTTTTGGAGGATTTCAAAAAAGTAAATTGCTCTGCTTCGTTTTGTTAATTCAGGCGATTGAAATGTTTTTTTGTTTTTTTCTTCATTCGCGAAAGCGTATGTTTTGCGTTTTTTTGTTTTACTGTTTTTTTGTTTTTTTATTCTTTTCGTTTCCTTTTTTTTTTTTAACCCACGCATATTACGCATTACTCAATATTTGCAATTTGCGCATATTTTCGTAGTTTGCTTCAATTTTTGCGCGTATAAATAATACATGCAGTGCGTATTTAACTTTGATCCGCGGCGTAGGTACATGTACGTAGACAGAGATAAATGCGCCCGGGGAGCTCCGAGGAAGAAAAGAGGGGAGGGGGAACTTTCCAGTGAGGTGCCCACATCAAGCAACGCAATTTTACGAACGCGCGGGGGGAAGAAAACGTTGCGTAATGCCGCAAAAAATGGCCGCTTTATGTTAAACATGTTACCCCATATACGCGTATTTTATTTACGCGCGTTACGTATGCAATATTCCTGTCGCGCATACCCTTTCACAGTGCCTCCTTTTCGCCCAATCGGTGGTACATATGTATTTATGTATATATATGTAGGTATATATTCCTATATATGCCTCCCCCCCTTTTTGCCCCCCTCAGCACTTCTCTAAATAGGAATTTTGCAAAAAAAAGAAAGAAAAAATTCCCTTTGAACAAATTTACTCCCGCCGAGGGATTTATCCCTTTGCCGCTTTAATGGCATGGGAAGCACTGCGACCCACATGCCACCACGTAAAAATATACGTATATGTATGTACAGGGGTGTAACATATACCCCCTGTGTAAGTATATGTCACCCGCCAGGGTTGCCTTTTTCGCACAGCTTTGCCAAGTGCTGCAACGGGTGCACGTCACGAAGTCGAAATTGCGATAAGGTGCCACAGGTTGCGTGTGCTTGACGTGGCCGGACCAGCTATGGGCCCTTGCTTTTTTAAGCTTTTACCCCTTTGACAAAATTGCCATTTTCCTCAAATGCCCAATTGATTGATCGATTACAACTTTACCATTCCGCTACTGCCGCCCTGTTCTTACCTCTCGATGGGCATATTTATCCGCTTCGTCGCTTCGAGGTACCCTTTTTACATACGAGAAGGAAACTATGTGTCGCAACTTCCCACTGCGAGAAACAACTCGTGCACATTGCGATTGTCAAGAAGAAGGAGAAGAACAAAAAAGGAATCCCTCTTTGATACATGACCAATGGAATTAGAATTACTGACCAAAGAGGGATTTCTTTGGTCATTTTCTGTGGATGCTTTATGGAAAGTCCATCCCTTGATTTAGCAACTAAGATGTGAGTTACGCAACTCGGTGGAACAAATGGAAGCCGAAATTATAAAAAAAAAAATAATTAACTAATTAATTAATTAATAACAGGAACGTCTAACTTTATGCAGTTCAAGGGGGTCGTCTTTTACCCCTGCTACCTCATGACGTACCGCCGCTGAAACTCCGACGTGACCAACTCGAAGAGGAGCTTCGTTATCTTGGAGAACGAATACAAGTCTTCCGTCATGTATGGACAGAAGGATCGGTGGTTCTCAATCAAGTTGAACGCTCGAATGGTGCGCTTCTGTGTGGTACCAGCCGTGTCCCCGCAGGGCACAGTATTATCGGTACCGTTGGCCGCATCCGTACAGTTGGCCGCTTCCTTATCGTCCTCCTTTGGCGTGCGCCGGTTATCCAAATGGGCCAAGTGGGGACCCCCCTTCAATACGTAACAATCATGCGCAGCTTTGCTAAATAAGTTTTCGTCCTCTGTGTAACTACTTACCTCGAGGAATGCGCGGCTAAGTATATTTTTCAATTGCACATATTTTTTTCTTCTTTTCTTTCCACACACTGGGTTCCCTTTTCCATTTGGGGTTAATGCGCCCTGGTTGACACTCTTCACGGGGCATTCACCTGGCGAGGCGTCACCGGCGTCTTGATTTTTATCCGCGTTGTCGATGCTCTTTTTTGGGAGAAAGAACTGTTTGATGCTCCACTTGAAGGAGAACCCCTCCTGCTCCTCGGGGTTCGCCTGGCCGTCGCGTCCGCCCTGGGTGGGAAGGTCTTTTGTGTCGCCTCCCTCATTGGGGTCTCCCTTCGTGTCGTTGCTTACATTTTGGTTATCTTCCTTTTCACCGCCGTTATTTCCTTCCCCCTGTTTTTCTTCTCCCTCGTTTTCTCCGCGATTAATTTGTTCTTCCAGGTTTTCTTCTCCCTCGTTTGCTTCGCCGTTAATTTCTTCCCCCGGGTTTTCTTCCTGCTCCTTTTCTACCACCTCTTTTTCCGTTGCCTCTTTTTCTGTTGCCTCCTTTTCCGCTGCCTCTTTTTCTGTTGCCTCGATTTCTACGACTTCTCCTCCTGTTGCGTCTTGGTCTTCTGCCCCCTTTTCTTCACCCTCCCTTTCCGCACCCCCTCTTACTTCACTATCCCTTTCTTCGCCTTTCCTATCCTCGTCCTCATCGTTCTCCCCTTCCTCCACTTCAACCCAGCCATCCGCCAATCCGGTGAGGCGTTCCAGTGCATCCCGCGCGTCGTCTATCGACGGGTCGGCGACCTCCCCGGGGGGCTCCATATGGATGGACTTGAACAAATCGATCTTGTTCTGCCTTCTCGAAAAGGTAGAATAATCACCCAAGTTAACCTCCCTAAAGCAGTACCTACAGTAGAGGATCTGCGAAGGGACATCCGGGTCCTCCCCCCGGGGAGATGTTCTATATGTCCATCCCAACAGAGCGATGAGCTTGTAAATATTGACATCTTCATATTCGAAGTTCTTCAGCTGATTTACAATTTTGAAATACATGTTGAGGTCTTCATCGGAGTGGCTAAGTTTCTTCTCTGCGTTAGCATTCACATCTGCTACGATGTTTATGTAGGTGTGTACATCTAGGGGGTCATATGTCAGATTGTTTAGAAACGCTTCATCAACAAGGTGGTTCATCATATGTTTGTAATTGGATCGAATAAGGTGCATTCCTCGGTAGACCAAATTTTTGTGACTCTTAAATATTTCCACATAGTGACTCTTGAATAATTCTACATACGAATTGAAGGGCAGAAATTTCTTCTTCGAGCTCTCATTCGCCAGGTGCTTTTTAACAATTAGGATCAAATTGCTAATCGTCTTTTTTATGTCAATATATGGCACATCGTGTGTACCATTTTGCAGGAAGGTGGTAACAGATTGGTACTCCCTAAGTAGGTTGTCCTTTTTTAAGGACTCCCCATCGAGGTGCAGTATCTGCAGATCAATTAATTTCCCTTTCCAGGGGCAATTCTTCAAATGGAGCAAACATAAGTCGTTTATTGTTGTGTACATAGAATATGTGTCCTTTTCGTATACAAATTTGCATCGACACATTTCGCAGCTTACTGTAGATTCATTTTCACATATAAACCCGTTTCTAGCCAAGAGAAGTGAACATAGATGTGCAGGTTTCTTTACCCATACGTTGTACGTTTTTATTCGATTTATGTAGTTCTCCTCGTCCTGTAGATACCGACGACTGCTCTTCGTGTATTCATCTTCCTCTTCTTCCAGAAAAGTTCTCCTCACATTTATGAGTTCCTCATTTGGGGATTCTTGAGGGTCTACCCCAGTCGCTTCTCCTGGGCAAGGGCCATTCATCTGGGCTCGTCCCCCAAATAATGGACCACCTCAAGAGTAACCGCTCTGCTGGTAGGTAAAGAAAGCAACCTGGTTATGGCCGACACGGGGAGAATTCCCCAAATGTTGGGAAATCTCTACCAAAGTTACGATCGAGAATTCCCACTCTTCCTGCGGTTCAATCGCAGTTGCAAGTTGGTCCCGTCAAGTTCATCCCGTCACGCTGCGCCCTTCAACCCGATCGGGTGACCTAGCTTACACTTCGCCCTGTGGCAATCATTCCTCTAAAAGACGTCCCCCTCCGCCCTTTTAGTTTCTGCACGAGGGGGGAAAAAGTGAAAAAAAAGAAAACTCACATGCTTTTTCTTAAGTTCGGAATGCTCTCGCCCTTGAACAAATTATTCGAGGTGGATTTTCCCTGTGCATGTAGAGGACATTTCGCGGGGTGATCAAAAATTGTGGTGCTTTGAAAGGAAACTCGCGTGGGGGAAAAAAAAAATACGAATGGGTGAAGTTCCATCAGCGGAGAATAGCGGAAGAAAAGGAACCTCTCTCCCTTCCCAAGGAAGGTTATCCTACCAAACGAGGGCTCATTTTTTAAAAAATGAATAGCTACTCCTCCGTGGTGTACTCTCCCCGTGGCAGTATTGGCAACTTGAAAAGAATGAAGAGGAAGAGGTCAAAATGATAACCGTTACGACGGGGACACCTCTCACAATGGGTAAAAACAAGGAGGATGCATGCGAAATGCACTAGTAAACAAGTGCCGTATTGGGAGAAAACTTCCTTGCCATATTGTACCTCCCTTCACACATAGTAATAATCGAGCAAGGCAACAGCCGCTGAGGGCCCCTTTTTTTGAGAATGCCTTTCCGAGATGTTTCACCAATCTCGGCAAACTCTTCATGTCAGACATAGGACAAACAATACATCTGGAGACTACTCCAAAAAGATGAAAAATTGAAAGGTGGATAATCCCACCACGTAACTTTGCAAATTATAGCTGATTGGTTGGAGAAAAAGTTTATACCCCGTTTGGGAAAATGGAAAGATGTCGTTGTAAGTAGGCGTAAAAGTAGCTTAGCTGTGTTCATACTGCGTCGTCAAAGGGCGCGAGTGATGAACATTTGGGGGCGTCAAATGGGTGTGCTTTTTTTTTTTTTTTTTTTCCTTTCCCGCGGTTTTCGCTATCTAAAAGAAGGCGTTACGCATGTGCGTGTGCATTGAGCGAAACTGTTCGCCCGATCGCTCTGAGGATCTACCGCTTATTCTCTGGACAGACACTGCCGTAGTGTTCACGGCGACTGCACCTTTCTCCTTCGCCAGCATAGCTCACGTGCGAAGATTGAAAGAAGCGGCTCCTTGCTGATTTCACAAAAAGACGCCTTTCCCCTGGTGCAGTCGGAACAGTTGCATACGCCCATTGCATCCCCGTGGTTTCCAAGGGCCATCCTTTGATACACACCTGCCTCTTACCCGATCCACAGATTTACGCAAGTAGCCATGGGAGTACGTGCAGATGGAGATTCTGCAATTCTGGCTGCACAAATGTCTGCAGACATGTTGTGTACATGGAGCGAAGGAAAATGAAAAAAACGATGGCTTGTATTTTCCCCCGTGAGGCGAAGTTTGCGTGGATTTATTTTCACGCCAGGAGTGCAACCATGCGACGGTGTGGGGCTTGCGATAATGAGGCCAAGTGAACTTCCACCTCCCAACGTATGACATCGCAAGGGAACTTCTGATCTGTCCTGCTCTCGGTTAAGGCAGAAGAGAAGGGGGGGCAGGGGTGCGGACAGACATACATAAATGTATACAGGGTGTTCTTCCAAGTAAGGTTGGGGTTGCCAAGTGGGCGCGCAATCACGGCGTAATCGCCCTGTTACGCGTGTTGCGAATTTCCCAGCTTCTCTAGCAGGGCTTGCTACTTCCCTGTGTCAGGGTGCGACGCAGAGATCAAGAGATGCAACGAGGCGTGCTAACCGCACCAACATCGGACAAAAAGTATTTCTGTGCATACGCTCCACAGATTTCGGCGCACACATTCCATAATGTAAAATAGTCCCACTGTGTATACGTATGCGTAGTGTTTCTTCCCCCCATGCGACATGACACATAACGTTCGGCTCCATACATGCGCTTAACTCTCACACAGATGCGCACGAACGTGTACGCTCCTCTTCCGTGTGTTAACGTGATGGAGCGCAGCCTCCAAAAATAATTCATGCGGAGTAATTACCACTGTAAAAAAAAAAAAAAAAAAAAATTAAAAAAAAAAATTGTGCATTGCGATACCAATATATCGAATGAACGCTAACCAGAGTGACACTCTAAGGCGATTTTCACGTTTGATCAATTTGAATTTGTTTTGTTTTTCCTATTTTTTCTCCCCCATTTATATATAACCAAGGTTATTCTCACGTACAATTCCAGTATGTTAACTGACTGGATTTGTGTAACCTCTTCCTTTTAAAGTATGTACATATGTGAAATGTACGAAGGGGCCAGTGTACGTAAGTGAGGCGTACGGCCGAATGCACGGTAAGTACGTTTGAAATTGCGCACAGGGTACTTTTGAAACTACGGATGGAAGTGCGTTTGGAATTACGTTTGGGAATGCATACGCCTGGAGTACTCATGTCAGTACGCGTATGCAAGTGCGTCAAATACCCATACGGGTGAATACCCATACGGGTGAATATCCATACAGGTGAATACCCGTACAGGTGAATATCCATACACGCCCATGTCAGTACACGCGCAGGTCAGTAAACGTGCCTCCACGCTGGTATAAGAGTGAACGAACCATTGCGTATGCATATACCCATCGGTGATTGTACCAACGGCAATGTTCCGCTCACTTATTCCTATGCGTGAGTGTACCAACGGCCACATGCCGCTCACTCATGCATATGCGCATATGTACACGCGCCTACATACGCACCTGCATACGCTCGTGCTCGCGAACACTCGGGTACACTCGCGCCGTAGCTCATTCATCCGTACGTGTTAATGCGTCAACTAATGCGCCGCTGCGCGCATCACTTATTTCAACCTTTTGAAAAATTGTGCGAACGTTTACTCGGCCCCCTTGTTTTATCACTTTTAACCTAGTTTTTCTGGCGCGTGCCTTCGCACGATTCGAAGAACAGCTTGCCGCACAGTCCGTCGCACAACTAGCCGTACAACCCCGCGTGTACACATACACACCCATTTGGCTTCTTCCCCCTCACAAGTCCGAGTGAGGAGAAGTACCTTGCCCCTACGTGTGTATGTCCGCACGAACAAGTTTGCATGTGTTCTGTGGCGATGCTTAACTTATGAGTTGCATTCACCGGGCACATGCAGACAACCCGCATGTCCCATTAAGTACGACAGCGCGGTGTGTGCAAACGTCTGTTTTCGTGTGTGTGTATAATTTTACAGCGGTATGCGCTATTCGTGCGTCCAGCGCGTTGGTACAGACTGGTGCTGATCGTACACATCGCGTGGGTCGTACCATCGCACACACATAGTTATCCAGACGTGTCTATACCTGGCTTTCTCGAAAAAAAAAAAGAAACAAATATATATATGTATATATAATGAAAATGTAAACTGTTCATCATTCTTCGATGCTTTTTTTTTTTATGAAATCATTCAGGGTATATTGAGAAAAGAACCCCATGAGAAGAAGAGAGTTTCACGTGTAATGTGTCAATCGAATAATGAGCGTCGTTTGCTTCTTTTCATGTTCTTCCCCTTTTTCGACCCTTTCCCTCATTTCGTGCTCTTCCCCTTTTAATGATTCTTCTTTTTTTTTTTTTTTTCTTCAAAATTTTGAATGTAGTACAAAGCAAAACACGTCTACCCTTCATACAACACTGACAGGTGTTGTTCCCCCTATGGAGTAGGAACGCATGAGCGAATTTTTTTGTTGCACACGCGGTACGTACATGTGTTCGAACACAGTGCCTGCGCTCACGCGGTGCATTTCGAAGAGAAAGTTATCTTATCCCCCCAATTTTATACCATGGATAATTCCCCAAAGGGGAACTTCCTTTTTTTTCAAAAGAATAAAAGTAATGATAATCAACTGAGTCATAAATGTGAAGACACCATGTATGCCAAAGGAGAGGACAAGAAAAGTGGGAAGAGGGGCGCCACAGACAGCAAAGGCATGACACCTGTCCTAAAGGATCAAGGGGTTAATATTTATATCAATACCCCACCGAGTATGTTTGATAAGAACATAAGCACGGGCCAAAAATATGATAGTTTGACTGGGGCCATGCCGGGCTCTTCCCCCATGGGTGAAAAAATTCCCGACCATATGCAGAGCATTTTTGCCGATCGGGGCGTAGACATGAAGAAAATGCCCTGGATGGAGGAGAAGGCAATCCCAGGCGGTATGAGTAGTTACGCGGTGAGGAATTACAAGGGTAGTGCCTACGCCGTCAGCGGTCACGGGGGGAGCAGCAACACGGAAGGCTCAAAGGAGCCCCCTAAGAACCCCCAGCAGTTTAAGCCCAAATTTAACAAAAATAAAAAAAATCCAACCAAGGAGGACAGCAACATGAACCCTATGTCGAAAGACATCAAAATTCGAAAAAGCAACATTCTAGAATTGAACAAGTTGCTGAAGGAAAATTTGAGGATAGAAGAAAATTTAAAAAAAAAAAAAAAAGGGGGAAGGAAATAAGGACGACGAAGAAGATGAAGATGACGAGGAGGAGTATGACCAGGACTACTACCAGAGGTGGGGGGACAACACCGGGGACAACAGCAGCAGTTACGCTCCCCGAAATGGTGCGCGCGATAAGGTAATTCCAGGGGAACACCAGGAACACGTACAGAAGGACCTGAGTAGCCAAGAGGAACTCTCTGGGGAAGGCAAAAGAGACAACGGAAAGGAGAAAAAGGAAAAGGCCAAGAGGAAAAACAAAGACAAGAACAAAGACAATAAAGGGAAAGGGAAAAATGAAGAGCGCGAAAGGGAGAAAGATAAATCCATTTCTAAGGGCAAAGCGAAAGAGTTTGACTCGAAGGATCAAGAGGAGGGCGACAAGAAGAAGGAGCATCTTTCCATTAGCAACCAGAACATCATCCTGAATAGCAGCCTGAACAGCAACGCGAATAGCAATCCGAGTACCACACCAAACAGTAGCATTAACGTCATGCTGAGTAACGCCTTGAATAGCGGACTGAATACCGGTCCCAGCATCATCCTCAACGCGGACAACAAAAACAGCGGGAAGAATAAAAAGGCGAAGAACAAGAAGGGGGACGCGCACCAAGGCAAGAAAAACGAACCTGGACAAAACAAGAATAATGATTCTCCACAAAACAAGAAGAATGATTCTCCACAAAACAAGAAGAATGATTCACCACTAAACAAGAAGAATGAAATGATGAAAAATAAGAAAATGGATTCCCCGCAAAACAGGAAGAACGATACGGGGCAGAACAGAAAGAACGACTCGCCGAATAACAGGAAAAATCATTCGTCACTAAACAGGAAAAACAAAAGGGAAGATTTCATCACAGGTATGAATGCAAATTTCCTGCTAGACCAAGGAGATGGGACAATGATCAAAAATGAGCTACTCATGGAAGGTAGTGTGATTGGGAAGAATAAAAATATGGACAGCTCGATGAACTTTTCCGAGCACTACAGTTACTATTACAGCAATAACAAAAATGACATTCCCACCATGAGCACCTCCAGAAGGGGAGCATTCAATAAAGTCCACTTGGATCTCTACTGCGACAGTAATAGTGGGAGCTACATGATGGATTCCAGTGACAGCAAAGGATTCAGGTATAAGAAGGAGCCTCGAAATGATATGTTCAAGTTTGGAAATAACAATTTTGGCAGCGCTAGTGGTCACGGCAGCGACTCCGGTCTTGTTGGGAGTGCAGGTAACCATGGCGGCTTTGGAAACCATGGCAGCCTCGACAACCTTGGGGGCCTATCCCTGAGCGACAAATTCCACATGAGTAAAAGTTTCTTCAAATCGCACGAAATGGGGAACTACCCTTTTCAAGATTTAAGCAGCACGTATGACAAGTATAAGACCTCCTTCGATCCCACCTCCTTGTGTGAATTTCTCGACCACGAGACGGGCAAGAGACATCTGCACAACAAAGGTTTAAGCAGCCACGGTGAGATGAAAAATGTTAAGGACAACAATCACAACGTCATGAACTTAAAAGCCACCAATATCATTGGCATCAACAGAACCAATCATATGCACCTCAATCTGAGCAGTAAGGATAACCGGCTCGGCATTACCAAAGGGAGCGATAAGAGAATGGCTAGCAATATGATACACCCGAGTGGCAGTCATCTAGGGAAAAAATATATGAGTAGCAAAAATTTGCAAAGCTTTAATAATAAGTTGAACTTTTCCAGCGAAGGAATCGAACTGGGCATGAGTCCCAAGATGAATATGTTTAACAACGTCGGTGATGTAGGCGGGAGTTCCCTGGGTGGGAGCAACGCGGAGGGGAATAATATGTCTGCGTCTAATATGGGTAGTCACCTGGCAAGCAATAACGTCGGAAGCAATAACGTCGGAAGCAATAACGTCGGAAGCAATAACGTCGGAATAAATAACCTGGGAAGTAGTCACCCAGGGAGCAGCCTAAGCAGCAACAACTTGGGGAGCAGCAACAGCGTGGGCAACGTACTGAAGGATGAAAGCCACCTTCTGGGGAGAAGAAGCTACAACAACATGCTGAGCAACAGCAGCATGAACATGAACCCCATGATGGACGGAGAAAATAATAATTTGCTCCACAATAGCTATGCGAACGTTACCAACGTAGTAAGCAGCAGCAATGGGATGGGTGGAAGTGGCAGCAAGGTGTATAACAGTGGGGTTGGTGAGGGAAACATGAACGAAAGCATGAATAATGTAGGAAGCTTAAACGGAACCACCTTCCAAACGAATAAGTCCAACTCTAGCGTAAATAACAGAGCAAACAGTAACAAGAATCATATGAATGACTTAGTGAGTGGGCAGAACTACGTAAGCAATGTCTTACTGTATGACAGTGGAGGGGATATGTATAATGGAAAGGTTGGAAGAATGAATGGCTATGCAAGGCACAACGTACCTCCCTTTTCAGGACAGAGCTTGGACAGCTACGCAAATCAGAACGTGGATAATTACGCCAACCAGAATGTCGATAATTATGCCAACCAGAATGTAGACCATTATGGCAGCCCCAACATGGACAGCTACGGAAATCCCAACGGGGACAACTACGGGAGCCCGCATTTAGATAACTATGGCGGACCGCATCTAGACAGCTATGCGAACCCTGTGATGGATAACTACGTGAACCCAATTATGGACAGCTACGCCAATGGAGCCATCGATGGATACGCCAACGCGCGCATGGAGAACTATACCAACCCACGAATGGACAATTATGACAACCTGAGTGTGGAGAACTACCCCAGCCCGAACTCGGACAGATACGCGAATCGCAACTTGGAGAATTATGCTAGCCCTAACGGGGACAATAATTATGCGAACCCTAATCTGGACAATAGTTATTCCAACCCTAACGTGGAGAATTATACTAACCCCCGCTTGGATAACTTCGTAAACCCGCACATGGACAATTTCGTGAACCCTCTCATGGACAGCTACATGAACTCGAACATAGACAGCTTTGCGAATCAGAATCTGGACAACTATACTGGCCAAAACATGGGCAGTTTTGCCGCCCCCAATGTGGACAATTTTGGTCCCCCCAATGGAGACAATTTTGGCTCCCCCAATGTGGACAATTTTGGCCCCCCCAATGGAGATAATTTTGGCTCGCCTAATGGAGATAACTTCGCCCCACCCAATGTAGACAATTTTGCCCCGCCTAATGGAGATAACTTCGCCCCGCCCAGTGGAGGAGAGTCCTACCCCCATGAGTACACGAATAGCCTTCCTATGAATTACCTAAACGGAGGAATGACATCGACACTGAGCAACAGCAGAGGCACATCTTCTATAAACAACATGAGTCAGCACTCAAACGAGCTTAGTATCACATCTGCGAACATGCTGAACAGTCTGGTAGGGAAAAAGAATAACTTGCTTCTCAGTTCCATGAACAACCCAGTCAGCAGCTCCAAGGCAAACCTCGGCGTGAGCTACATCAACGACACATTTAAGAAGGCGTCCAATTTGTTTTTAGAAACTGCCATGAAATGGACCAGAAATAGCAGTGGAAATAAAGTAAAAAGAAACAAAAATAAAGGGTCTCTAGAAACCAAAGGGGCAAATTACGAAATGACATCATCATCGAAGGAAGGAAACGGAAGTGGCATGTTGTCAGATAGAGGGGGCGTCAACTATGTACTGGAGGATCATCCTCCAGGGAGAGCAAAATATGTACATAATGGCGAAATGGCGGAGCAGACAAACGATAACGATGCCGCAAGTGCATTGACAAATGCAATCGCAATTGCCATCGCAAATGCGAACGCAACGTCTACCAATGGGGCAGACAGTAGCGTCCAACACATGAAGTGCCTCGAAAAAAACGATACCATAAAGAAGAAGGTCAAAACGGAGAAGAGGGCCCACGTGAAGAACATTAAAATAAATATAAACAAAATTAACCTGTTCCAAAATAAAAAGAGGAAATATCTGGCCGAAATTATCCGATGCGAACTTATTTGGGGCCCCACCAAAAATAAAGAACCCATCACTCCAGTGGAGAGTTGCGAGCTACACCCCGTTGTTATCATAAAAGATCAGTATGGACATCTCTACGACGACGATGAAGACAATGAGAACAATCCGATAGGAAAAACGGTTAATATTTTTTACAGATGGAGTAGAGGACCCCCTCGAACCGTTTGCTTTTTCCATCCACAGAAAATTGCTTGCCTACAATGCACCGTCACGTTTCGATGCTTCTGCTCCTATGAATGCTTCATGAAAGGGTTTGATCACTTGCACAAGTATTATCGGAGCAATGGTCTCATTAATATTCCTTCGCACCCGAATCTTCATACCTATGGCGTACCTTGCTCACCCTTCGATTGGGACAACTATGAGAAAAATATCGAGTTTGATGAGAGACACTACAACTCGCTTGTGCAGTCTGGGTTGCTAAACTCGCCCGATATGGAGAAGTGGGAAATAATTAACAATGAGAGGAACTACATCCCGTGTTTGAAAGACGTGGGGCACCAAATAATGCTGGAGACTATGTTGCTGGATAAGAATAACACGTCATCAGAGGACGAGACGACCAGCTCGGACGAATGTGAGGATGGCAGCGTCGGCGAGGATAGCAGTGCGGATGATAGCGATGTGGGAGTTGGCCAAGTTGGCGAAGTTGGCGGTGTTGACGAACTTCTTAAAGGCCAAGTGCGCGAGGGCAGCGATTGCGTCCTGTCCTTCGCCGATGAGAAGAGCCCGCGGAAGAAGCAACACCCCGCAGCGTACGCGCGGTATGGATCTGTGCAGTCGAGCGAGTTGGATTCGATAACCCCGGAGCAGGTGGCAAGCTTCAATAATATACACTATGCTGGTAACCATAAGGAGGAGGACCACTACTCCGGGCAGTTCACCGACGGAAGCGGCATCATCAGTGGGGAAGCAGACAGGCCTGACCGGAACCATGCAGGCACCACCAGGGTGTTCACCTCAAAGGGGGACTCCTCGACCGAGGCAAACAGGAAGCAATCGTTGTATAATCATGGCACGTTCAATGGGGACAATAACGTGTGTACGTCAGCAGCAGAGGAGGACAACGACCCAACGAAGGAAGCGTACACAAGAAGGAGTGCCCTTAATCACAGCGCGAATGGAGAAAGTGAAGGAAAGGAAAAGAGAATGGACCGTTTGGGAATTACTTCTATGCACAACCGGGACGACGACGACGCGCTTCTGCGTAGCGATGGAGCCATACGTATAAAGAGTGGAGGCGAACCGACAAGTGAGTTAAGCATCCCGAGTGCTGACACCAAGGAGGGGTTAACCGAATTGAAGGCCAACAACCTGACGACGCCTGCGAATGGATGCGCTGGAGAGAACGTCGAGGATAAGAAAACGAATGAGGGTAATGGAAGGGGCATGTCGAGTAGTCCTAGTAAAAGCGCAACGGACGAAGTGGAAGGCAGCGCCGCCCTGGACAAGCTCACCTCCGAAAGGGAAAAGAAGCAAATCCAGAGAACCGAGCCAACTCACTCAACCAAACCATCCCAGCAAAACACCCATGAGCTGAAGAAGAACAAGAAAAAGCGGAAAAAGAAAAAAATCTACATACTGGATGACCAAGTGTGGAACAACATAAGGGACCCCAACATTTATCACAAAATAATCACGGGGTGTTGTATCCCTAACTTGACTATCTCCCCGAACTATAACGTAACTTGTTTTAATAATTCCAATGCTACCAATCCTCAGAACCAGTTTACCATCATGACATGGAACGTGCTGGCCGAGATTTACGGAACGATCGAGGCGTTCCCTCACTGCGACCCTTATATGCTGGCCTGGTCCTATCGCAAGACGAAGATCATTCAGGAAATTTTGAACAACAGCCCGGACATCGTGTGCCTGCAGGTGGGTCCCCCCCTCCCCATTAGCCTCTGCTCATCACCCCGCTTCGTTTCACCACGCCCCGATGCGTTTCTCCACTCCCGATTCGTTTAACGACTCTCGCTTCTTTTCACACCCCCGCTTCTTTCCCCATAGGAAATCCAGAACGAACACTTCCTGGACTTTTTCAAACCGTCGCTGGGCGAATTCGGCTACGAAGGTGTGTACAAACAGAAGACAAAGGAGATATTCACGTCCCCGTCGGGAAAGAGAAGAGGAGGAAAGTACACAATAGATGGCTGCGCTATATTTTACAACAAAAAGAAGCTCAAGTTTGTGGAGACCTATGCCTTAGAGTTTAGCAAGCTGATCAAGGAGGCCTCCGTGTTTACTTTGCCAAAGGAGATTCAGAAAAACCCATGCTTGGTGAAGCGACTCTTAAAAGATAACGTGGCGCTGGTCATACTGCTGGAGTACATACAGCAGTATTCAAAAATTTATGACACTAAGGAGGAAGACGGGGAGGAGCAGAAGCCGAATAAAAATCTCATCATAGTTGCCAACACACATATTGTAGCAAACCCGGAAGCCAATTACGTGAAAATCTGGCAAACACAAATATTGGTTAAGGTCGTTGAATATTTGAAGATAAATTTTATAAAAAAATATGAAACTGTTCCCAGTTTGATTATATGTGGAGATTTTAACAGTACCCCTTCTAGTGCGGTCTACCAGTTGATATATAAAAAAACCTGCAGCAGGAGTCATGAGGACTTCAGTTCAGACAAGTATAGCCTACTGACGGATCTGCCCCTTGGACACAATTTAAATCTGAAGTCAGCTTACGCCATCTCGAAGTTACTCTCCCAGAAGCTTAACCCGGAAGAGTATACTTCCAATTTGGAGATCTTCGAACCTTTGTTTACAAATTACACCGGGAATTTCATAGGATGCTTGGACTACATTTTTTACAATGACGAAAATTTGAATATCATTTCTACCGTCAACATTGCTGATGAGAATCAGCTCATGCAGGAGGCGCACATCTACCAGCTGTCCAATTGCGCACTGCCTAGCCCCATTCGCCCCTCCGACCACTTGCCCCTCATCGCCAAGTTCGAGTTCAAGATTTATTGAGCCGCTGGGAGGCGGGGCTGCCCGTTGGCTGGTTCGCATGTTTTCGGGGTACAGTGCTTGGGGAATCCTAAACATCTACCGTCATCTGTTATGTCCCACTTCTCACCTCTCACCGTTCACCTTTCCTTTCTGTCTGGAGTGAAGTCTCCTCCCCGTTATGAATCTCGAGAAACCTGTCCACAGGTGTAGGCCATGGCCCGCGGAGGAAGTAGCTAGTCTCAAAAAGGGATCCTTTGCCGAGTTCTCCTCCCCCCCGAAGGAAGAACAACCCCTTTTTTTTGCCCAACCACGGCCACATCCAGATTATGCAAAACCGTTTTCATTTCAGAACCGTCGGTTGGCGAATTCAGATGGCAGCAGCAAATTTTGACCCCCTATATGAACGTGGCCAATTTTGATGACGGCCCTTTTTATCGCATCAAACTGTGCTGCCGTGCCTCCCACTTTACCCCACTGTATTAATTATTTTTTTTCGGTAATTAATTTTATTTACATTATTAAAAAATTAAGACGAATCGTGGTAAATGCACTGCGGTGGAACGATCCTCCTGCATCTTCACATGTGTACATACACATGCACATACGCATGGCTTGTTTCCCCCACCCATCTCCTTGCGCACTTCTCCCTCTATGCTGCATATTTCTTGCCCTTCTGGCACACGCGTAGGGATTGTTCCCCTTCGTCTATGCTACATTTTTAAATATAGCTAATTTTAAAAGTGAGTGTTTTTTTTTTTTTTTTTTAAACAGCTTTTCACGTGTGTTTTTCCATTTTGAATATGTCACGTAGCTTTACCCCTCCCCTCTGCCCGTCTGTGTGTACATAGCATATGTGTATGTGATGGTCCCTGTGTAACATAAATATACGCGTGCGTCCGTCGTTGGCTACTGCAGCGTATCTCTGTGACCCCAGGATGTATTTGCCGACACACACATTCATATCCTTGCATAAGCGCAAGCACGTGTGCACATGAATGCCCTTGGCCTTTTTTTTTTTTTGTCTTTCCCTTGTTTTGTGTTCTTGTTCGTAATTTATTTGTACCAAAAAGGAAGTGCACATGTATGTACGCATATATGTATATGGGTATATATATATGTGCACACATGTGTATGTTTTTTTATTATTTTTTCTTTTATATAAAATTTTTTTTATCAATGAACTGTTCCCATATCCGCTTAAAAAATATGAAAAGTGAAATTACCCTTTGTAGCCACCTATTGTTATGGGGTTCTTTTTTCAGCACGAGCGTTGTACGATATTACGACAGAGCGTGGTGATGCAAGGCATCCCCCAGGTGTCTGCAACATGCGAGCACATCTGAGTTGCCTTACCATTGGATGGGTGCCTTAGCCAGCAGTCAGCCTGCACTTCCCATCCACTTCGAAGTGGCATCACACTTGGATGGAGAAATTCTCAGAAGTGTTCTGCCATCGTTCCCCTACGCCAAATTGGATAAATCGCAGTGGTTATTTTTTTACAACACTAACGAGGTTGGGAAAGAATTTTCGAATCATGTGATATGGTCCCTTCTCCTCCATTCAGTGAGCTAACCATAAGGGGTGTAGGATTTCCATTACCTCCTTTGTTAGCGGCACCATTACATGCAACTACGGTGATGCAAGAGGCACGTGAACATCTTCATCAATTAAAAAGATGAATAAAAAAAAAAAAAAAAAAAAGGCTTCCCCCTTAGCATAAACAAATCTGGAAAAGGTGCCAAACACGCCAGCAACCCGTGTGAAGGGAAGCTATCTTTTCATGCCTCTCATTTTACTGTTTCACTCAGTGCCTTCCCCAACTTCATTTCGAGGGAGCGTCCGCCCTCCCATTATGGTGAATCCACCTTAATCACTTCGCGGGTGGGCAAACAGTAAGGGTAGCCTCTATAACATAGCGCACGTTAACGCTACCGCAAGTATAGAACAACCGAAGGGCAAGATTGCGCCCAGGCGAATGGGGAACCCCAAAATATATGGCATCATAACTTCACCGCGCAAAGGCAACAAATTCTTCCTCTTAATGTAATGGCAATGACTTAGCCGCATGTTGGCCAATTTTTACGTGCCTTCCAGAATTGTATACATTTTTGTCCCACCCCTTCTTTAAGTTTTTTTTTTTTGGAAAAAATTGCTGAGAAGTGCAAATAAAATGGGGCCCTCTTGCGCACCTCAGGACGGGATTTTTTCCGCGAACATTTTTTTTGTTTTCTCTTCTGCAACGCCGTATTTTTGAATAGCCAAAGGGGGTAAGGGGCAGGGTGAAAAAATGTGGTTCTCTTCGCCTGCGACTTCGAGGCGCGCATAGGGATGTGGTATATAAATAATTCTTATTAGCACCTTATATTAAACGGGCTGCGCATAAACAAAAAAATATGTATGCCAATATTGACGAGGCGATGCATAATTATACCTTCCATGCGACTATGTTATATATGCGCCCCACCTTCACAGGGCATACTGTTTTTTCCTCCAAGCGAAAGCTAAATCAGCGCACAGTCGGTACACTTTCACGTAGCACTGACAGAAGAAAGGGAAACAAAAAATAAAAAATACCGCTGTGGGGTTTGGGGGGCACTTTTGTACGGTTGTATGAGAAAAGGAAAAAAAAAACGTAAGCCAATTTTGTATAAGGTGAAAATTTCATTTTGGCGAAATTGTGGCTGAGTCAGCATTTTGCGTACGCCACAGGTGGTATTCTTCTGCGTAAACGTTGCAGAAAAAAAAAATATATATAAAGTAAAATAAAAAAGAAAAAAATAATTACGAATTAACGAGTTAACGAAACAACCATTTATGACTTAACGATTTATCGAGTAGCCAAACGAAGCGAAAGATATCGTAAAAGTAAACCCCCCGTTTGGCCGAAATACCAAACGCACAAGGTTTTCGTGGCATCCTTGAGTCATTCGCCAAGCTCGTGGGGATATCTACACTTTTTATTGTGCCTCTTGCGAAATCTGCGAAGGAAAGGCATTTTCAGTTGCCAAATTTTGTCGCAATTCTGCTAACACCGTGCTGAACGAAGAAAAACAAAATGGCGGAACAATTCACCATTCGTGTGAAGAAATACATGAGCAATCCCCTGCTACGAAGGAAGCAATTCGCCCTGGAAATATTACATCCCAACAAGGGCTCCGTGTCGAAGAAGGACGTAAAGGAGAAGTTGGCGAAAATGTACAAGCTCAACAATGTTAACACAATTGTCCTGTTCGGATTTAAATCGCTATTCGGGGGTGGAAAAACCAAAGGGTTTGGCCTGATTTACAACAGCGTCGATGCTGTTAAAAAATTTGAAAAGAAATACAGACAAATAAGGGAGGGGTTAATAACGAAGGAGAGCAAACCCGGACGAAGGGCTGCGAAGGAATTGAAAAACCGAAGAAAGAAGGTATGCCTTTTTTTTTTCCCCCTCCTGTTTTGCATAGCGGTTACGCAAATATGCCATTTTGCACGTGACGCATGGGTCAGCCACGGGGGGCGCTTCATCATTCGGCTGCGCCCCCAGTGCGTAGTCGCCAATTGAGTTCTCTGTCCGCGCGATTGTCCGACTGTACAACTGTGAAACTGTACACGGTGCAACTTTTTTTGCTTCCCTTTTTTTGTCTGTTGATTGTTCTGTTTTTGCCTCACGAGGCAATATTTTTTTTGCACATGTTCTGGCCCACCCACTGATTATTTATTTTATTTATTTTTTCTTTTCCCCTCCAGGTACGCGGCACGGCCAAGACAAAGGTATCAGGAGCGAAGAAAAAGTAAACTCATGTGCCCCCTCACTTTTGCCTATTCGTACTTGCAAAGTTTTGTGTTTCATTTGGATGAAATTACACAGTCGGTTGTTTATGATTTTTATTTTATATCCCTCTAATGGCATTTTTTTTTTCCCGTACTCCACACTTCTTTTTTCTCCCCTCTGCTTTGCTACTAACGTTCACCATGACATGTTTACCTACTCGTAAAAACAACACGCCGCTGCACAAGCTTTTACGGCTTTCGACATCACGAGCAACAAAACGGGAAAAGTAAAAAGTAAAAGAAATTTTTAAATCGCAAATGTGGAGAGTACTCCCCCTGCGCGACCAAAAAAAATGACGCGTCTCGTTGCCAAAATGATGAAGTATCAGAAAGTCTGTTTCGATTGAGAGGTCACGCTGCAGGGACTATGTTCCGCATTAGGGTTGATATAGTTGTTCCCCTTTTTGCCAAGAAAAAGTTCCCCATCGGTAAGGGGCAACCCATGTTGTATATGGGCAAACCGTATAGACCATGCACATACGACGACAGTCTGCTTACCCCAATGGTGCGAGCACCTGCCCCGAATTGTTCTTTCCTTTTTTTCCGCTTCACTGTGGAGCAGTCCACATGGAGCTTTACAAATTAAGTTCCCATCCGGGGGAACAAATTCGGAGAAAAAACAGATAAGAAAAAAAAAAAAAAAACTCATCACAATGCAAATATTATTGCGCTCGATGCTGCATAAAAGGAACGGTGTTGTCTGCACCGCTGATATTGAGGATGGTATCTCCACAAATGAGAAGTTATGAAAAAACTATGCAGAATTTGAGGAGCCGCTTCTTAAATTTGGTAATTGCGTATTCGGGGGTATCGGTAAGCTCCTCCAGTTTGCCTCCACTTCGGGGAATGCCCCGATCGGTCTGTTCTGTACCTGCTTCCCCCCTACTTTTGCTACTATCCGGGATCTGCGTGTGGTAGGAAGACAAGGCTAGCAGGAGAATGATGTGCCAAAGGGAGTGCTTAAAAAAGGAGCGAATGTTCCCCTTGGATGGATTTCGAAAAATGGCCTGGAACTTGTAAAATATGTAAACATTCGGCAGAAGGGACGTTAGAATATACATGTAGGAAGTGTACCCACAAAAAAAAAACAAAAGAGGTAATGATGATAAGAGAATTAAGTAGGGCCTACACAACTTGGCTGTATATAATCCATTCTGGTTATCCTGCAGGGGAAACATTTTATATTTCCCTTTTAAATAATCATCTCTATATAAATAGGCTATGGAGTAGAAATGGGGAAACTGCCACAACAGCTGTGTAATGAATAGAATCCAAGGTTCAGGGACAAGTAAGTTTTGCGCCACTGCTGTGCAACCCATTAGAGTCGGAATCGAACCCACGATGGACCCTACGTGCGTGTTATACGGTGTTCTCCTCTTTAAGGGAGTATACACACATGCGTATAGAAATATGTTAAATAGGCCAAGTACAGCTGTCATGGGGTTATTTAAATGGTACAGGATTCCCGATCCTAGGATGGCTGTCAAGGTACCAAACATTTTTGCATTCCTAAGAGAAATTTGCTTATTATTACATACAAGTGGTCTCCGTTTAGTCCGCTGCATTACTTTGTCTATGTCCCTTTCGATGATCTGGTTAAACGTATTGGCGCTACTGCTGCAGAGGTATACGCCAATAGCTAGGGAGGCAAATTCGGTTAAGTTCGATCCCCCCAGCATGAAATATCCGAACGTGCTACTTATCGTTACCCACAGAGTTAACTTAAATTTTGACAACTCAAGATAAGTACGCAAGTGAGGGTAGCTACCCAGATGGGTACATCTTCCCTTCTCATTGGTATGATCATTGATTGTGTCCTGGAGCTGTTCCCCACTTTTTATGAATTCTTCAGCGATGGAAGGTCCGAAGAAAGGCTTGCCCTCCGTCCTGGGGAACCCATACCTTTTGCCTTTTTCTCCGTCACCCGTAAGGGCAATTAAACCTTCGTTGGTCTCTTTCACTGGGGTGAATTCGACTTGGATGGACGCTGTCACAGAGACAGTGTCTTCCTCCACCCTGCCTGCCTTCTCAATTTTTAACACCTTTGCTGTATGGACTCTCATCACATTTACCATTTTGGAAGTCCCATTGTTCTTCCTTCTCCAACCATCTAATGATAAGTATTTTCTGTAAAAGTGTACTAACCTTAGTTGGGCACTTCCATTAATTGTGTCCTTCCTCTCTGTATAGCTGCCACCCCCCTTACACGTATAGTAGTGCGTTCTACTATCACTGCAGAGGAACAACCTGCATGGTCTCTTAACCGTAACGAACTTGGATCCCCCCGATTGAAACTGCTTTTTCCCTACATACATGCTAAGTAGACACCCTCTTCCATGCATCGTTTTCGTTCTATCATTCCGTTAAAAAAAAAATGGGGGGGGCTGGGGGAGGAAAATAGAAAAAGGGGACATTCTCCATCAAATAAGCCTGCTTCTATTTCATCGTTGGCCTAATTGCACTGAATGGTACGTATTAGCAAGGATGAGGGTCAAACCATTCACATGTGTAACTAGTTTATTATTAAACGGGGATGCAGATCCTGTTTGGTATCCTCCCTCCCATGCTGCATATGCACCTGAGAAATGTGCGGCCAAGCACGTCCTCCAATGTATGTAAATACGGAGTGGGTAAAGTCATGGAAATGAAAAAAAAAAATGGTGAACTGTATGGAAAATTCTCTCCTAACGGGAACACTAACGGGGGAAATGAAATGGTATTAAAAAGGATCTGCGTTTTTTTTTTTTTTTTTTTTTTAATTTGGTGAATTCTCCCCTTGGGGCTACAAAGAGTGAGCATACTTCCAACACGTATGACGCGCGTTAATGGGGGAGGTGAAGTGCTTATACCAGGCTGATAACAATCCCGAAGCGTAGTTTTACGCCACTCCCTATCAAATTTGCGCTAAGGTGAACTGAGCACCAAGCACATCTTTAGGCAAACGACCCCCATTGGGCACTGCTCCCACATCTTGCTCGTTGGACGTTCCCTGAATTTTCGCCATCAACAGCTTCGTACCATCTGGTATGAAAGAAAAAGTACCCACAATCTGCGTGTAAATTTTTTTTTTCCCGGAAGTCGATGTACAAGCATGCATCAGGGAAAATGCGTCCCTTTTATCCGCGTCAACTGCGTAGCCGCTAAAGTGGGCAAACTCATTTTTGTTGTTTATGCTCAGACGAAACGTTCTTTTTCAGTGTCACATACTTTATTGGCTTTCCTTTTCCCTTTTTTCTGCACTCCAAAATAAATGCGTGGTGAATGTTTTTTTTCGCGTAACGGGGTGGAAGTATCGAATGGGTACATTTCCTGTGCCCCTTTGCCTTCCCGCTACACACCGACATTGGCAGCTGGGCATATGTGTATGCCTTTAATTATGTAATCCCCGTCCAATCGTAAGAACTACAGAAGGTGTTCATTTTTTTGGGAAACGTCTTATCTGCTGGAACTCGCGGCGCACGCCCTATCACAGACGCCGGACAGCTGGGATGCACCCCACAAGGGACGGTACTGCGCTGCAGTAATATCAAACCATTATGGTGGCTAGCAAAAGTGTGCAGTGGCGTCGATCGGGAGCCCGCCAGGAGGTCCTGAGAGGAGCGCAGAAAAAGCAGCATAGCGTCACAATTTCGTCAACGTGACAGTTCAACATTTCATTTTGTTTCCCTTTTAAGCGTTACGCGGAAGGGCTACCTCATGAGCAAAGTGACTCGTGAACTCGTGAAGGCATCGCCACCTAGACACAGACCAAACTGTTACGCACAATGCTTAAGCCAGGCCCCGCCTTTTTTACTTCCACCATGGCGAATGAGAACCTTCGTATTGTATGTTGTATCTTTCGACTGATGCACAGACAAAATGTGTGTGCAAAAGAAAAGAAGAAAAAAACATTAAAAAGGCTGTCAATTCATTGTACTGCTCAACTAACAGTGCAGTAGATTTTTACCAAACTGGGGAGTTCATTCCATGGTTCAACCGGATGTTGTGTGTGCAGGGTTTGTGTAAAAGTACGAGATGGTGAGTAGGAAACACCGGGGAGGGGGGTTCTCACTTGGGATGAACTGTTCGTGGTTATTCACCTGCGGGGTTTGTATTTTTTACTTTTTTTTTTTCTACGCACAAAGCTGTCCATTTCAAAAAAAAAGAAGAAAAAATAAAAACAATTTGGCTGTTTTTTTTTTTTTTTTTTTAAATAGCCATACTTTCATTTCGCCTGAACAGAAATGGACAGCTTTGTCCCCCAAAAAAAAAGAAACAAAAGAGCCACCTGCGATTTTGCGGAAGTCTATCCGTTGATTGCCCTTCGAAGAAAAGTTCGCTTCTCTTCATGCTGACCCATCACACGGGGGATAAAACTTCAGACAATTTCGCCAAACGCAGCGTTAATGTGAACTGGTTTCATTTGACACCCTTTTTAGCTCATACACAGGCACGTCGGACAGGAATGCACATAGCGTTTTACACTTTGGCGTTAAAAAAATATGCCTCTTCTTGATGGTAAGGACAGACCACCTCTAACCGTTGAGGTGCAGAAAAGAAGTGCAATTAACGGAACGGGGTGAAACCAAATAGGCTACCTTTAAATTGCCAACGTGGAGCCACGGTGATGAAAAAGGTGACCGCCCACAAATGGGAGTAACAGAAGGTGTAGTAAGTATATAAGCAAAGTAGGCATCCAAGTGTGGGTATTTAAATCGGCGATGTGTACACTTCTGCGTAGGAATATATATATGTTTGCACGAATGGGTCATTCACTTCCGGGTTAAAAAATGCGCTTCTCTTAGCCGTCTGGTCCTGTTTATGGCAGACGCTTCACCTGTATTGTATAGAGTTTTCCCTGCCCCAGTTAAGCGCCATTCATTTGCTTATTTTCCAGGCGTGATTAATGGGCCACCTTGGGGGGGAGGTGCACAAAATTATGTGAATATGCCGTTTGCGAAATGTATACACAACGTAGGAATGTTAACATAACACTGCCATTTGGGAGAAGGCAAAAAAGGAGTTTTTTTTTTTATTCTTTTTTTTTCATCCTTTTAACACTTTTCCTTCTTCTGATTGAGTTGTCTGTACAGGGGTAAGGGGGGAACATTTTTTCGTCCAGTGGAACTCAAAAATAAAATAAAATAAAAAGGGACCTGCGAAACGTGAAGCACAGAAAAAAGAGGTAACACAAATGGCACTTTTTCCAATACATACTTATTTGCCAACATGCCCATTTGACACTTTTTTTTTTTTTTTTTGACGTGTTTCTTCTGCCAACCCATGGGGTTATACGTCACTTACACGTATTTGTGTAGTTATTTATATTTAAGAAGACTTTAAGAAGGTTTTTCCCTTAATTGAAATCTTTTTTTTTCTTCTTTCCTTTTTTTTAAATTTGTGCCAATTTTATAACTCAATATATGCATGCGAGAAAGGGATTTTTTTTTTTTTTTGTATTTATTTTTCCAAATTGCATAAACACAATTAAAACGAAAAAACCCTTTAAAACATATTTCGCTTTTTCCTTGCTTTTTTCTTTTTCTTTTGTTTTTTACCCTTCATATGTATATTTTACCTGTATATGTATATGCCTAGGCGTTAGCATTTTAACATACGTTTTTTTCATCTTACATAACTCCCCTGTACATTATTGATACGCGCGTTAACCATACGTTTGAGAGACGTACGTACTGACATTAGCATGCATATTGACATACGTGTACTTAATTGCGCTTGCCCCTTTGTGTAAAGTTTATGTTGTTGGGCCATTTCTCCGTTTCCCCATTTGGCCATTCCGCCCTCGCAGCTGACCGTTCATAGTCACCGCTTGCTCATCGCTTGTTTATCTCTCGTTCATTCGTCGTTCCCCTGTTGGTATTGGTGCCTCCCACCCCTCTTAATCACAACAGCGTTACAATTTCATAAGGGCTTCCTCCTCCATTTCGCTAGCGGAGCTTAGCAAACAGCATTCACCATTATAGCATTTTAACCCAATTTATCTTACTTTTTTTTTGTTCCGAAAATGCGACCATGTGATCCCAATTCAGCTTTCTTTGGGTTTATGGGGATCGCCGCGTCCTCCATCTTTTCGAGTAATACTTTTTTTTTTTTTTCGTTGAGAAGGAATTCATTTCCGCAACGCCAATACATGGATGTGGTTTTGCAGCCACCTCCGTGATCAAGTTGTGTATCTTCAGTTGCTACCATTGGGGGACTAATTTTGCCGACCCCCGTGTGTACTCTCTCCTTGCCACTCCCCCCTTTGTGTATACTATCATGTTCAGTATTGACCTGCGTGAAAAGTTATGCACACTTCGTATGTAAATTGTTTCTTTGTTCATTCCGCTTCACCTCTACTCCACCCTTCCTTTTGCAGATCTCGGGGCCGCCTATGGTACGGCGAAGAGTGGCGTAGGGGTGTGTAGTGTTGGTGTTATGAGGCCCGACTTAATCATGAAATCGATTTTGCCTGTGGTTATGGCTGGTGTCCTTGGAATCTACGGAATCATTATGTCCATCCTTATATATGGAAAAAGTTAGTGACACCCATACGCCGATGCATCAACCGGGGGTGTGCGCACGAAATGGCGAATAATGTGATTCACACGCGGCAGGTTGTTGGGCGCGTTGGAAGCGATCTGCTGATGTTAGCCCCTACGGAGAGATGCACACTGGCGCAAGTGCACACCTATGAGTATACCTATATTTCCCCCCCTTTTTTTTTTTCCTCCCGGCAGTGACCCCCGCGCAAGATTATTCTACCTTTTCCGGATACACCCACCTGGCGTCTGGACTCATAGTAGGACTGAGTTCATTGGTAAGGGCAGATTTTTCGAAACGTTTGTCCTGTGATGTGTACATAAGGGTGTACTTCTCCGTCCCATCGCAACTGCGCCATGGTGTCAGTGTGGTGTGTCGAATCAGTGGATCCGCAAGTGAGGCGAACGCGTGAGCCATCTTTTTGTTTTTCCCTTTTTCACCCTCCTCCTGCAGGCCGCCGGACTGGCTATCGGAATTGTTGGTGACGCTGGGGTAAGAGCCAATGCGCAGCAAAACAGATTGTTCATCGGAATGATTTTAATACTTGTCTTTTCGGAAACCCTGGCGTTATATGGTGAGAACAGCGGTGCGAGGCTGTCCGCAATGGATGGCTGACTACAACTGTATGGAGCTCATATGCATGTTATGTGGGTGTTTTTTCCGACCCATGGCTGCACGTTTTGCTGTCCGTTGATTTGCCTTCCACGCTTATGTATTCCCTTTTCCGTAGTCTACTCCAGGCACACACACACAATCTATCTGTGCTTTCTTCCCCCTCCCCCAGGTTTAATTATCGGCATTTACATCTCCATCTCCGAAACTCCGAAGCTTTGTGACTCCTATACAACTGTTTAGGGTGTCCCAATTTTTATTTATTTTACCTGTTCCTTTTCGCGGGAAAGTTCTCTGCCCCCCCCTTTTTTTTTTTTTTT